TAATTTTGGGGGGGGGCTTCAGCCCGAAACCTTTTTTTTTCATAAAAATAACGATAATTACTTTGGAAAAACAGAAGGAAACTAGCTACCTATATGAAATGGTGTTTAATTTACTCCTTAAGTACTTTTAAATGTAATTACACGAACAATAATACTTTAAGAGGAATTTTTTAATTTTTTTTTCCCATAAAACATGGTTATATTTTTCCATTTTGGGGGGGGGGGCTTCAGCCCGAAAGCCCCCCTCCCCCCCCCCGTAGATCCGCCCGTGAAAGAAACGAACCAAGGTCTTTAAAATTATCAGGTTCGCTCACTGAGAGGGAAAATGGTGGGGGAGGAATCGAGCTCCGACGTAGCGCTAGACCATTATTACACCTAGTGCCCTTGTTTCTGGATGTTTTAAGATTATTATTTAACTTTCTACATGAAATCAATACTCTAACAAGTACAATAACTTATTGATTTATTAATATTAATAAACTAAAAAAATGACAGATACGTTCATTTGCTATTTTGTCTAATCTCAAAGAATTATAATATAATTTAACAAGTTAAAGTGATTTTTTAAAAATGCAAAATACCATAACATTTTTTTAAAAACTATTTCAAATAATATAAAGTAAGAAACATAATATAAAATAATAGAAATATTTAAAAAAAAATAGAGATAGGTTTATACTTGACTGTTGAAATACTAAGAATGAAAAATGGTAAGGAAGTGTTACATTAAATTTATATACAACTACATAAACTTAATTTTTTGAGGGTACATCCTTACAATTAAAAAAAAAGAGGTTTTAAACCAAAATTGAAGAAGGTTTTAAACTTTCCTTCGACGATTTTTTATGAATTTGACATTCTTATATCATGACCAGTGAGTGGCCTTTTCATAAAATGGAGCTTATTTTCTTACTTGGTGTTTTTTTTCGCAAGTTTTTTTTTATTTGCTGTAATATTCCCGGGTATTTACAAATTGTCAGGCAATCCCTCCATCTAACTCGAGGGGCTGAGTATAGGTTGATATCCCCTTTCCCTTAAAGCACCCTTATCCCAAACCTTAACCCTTCAACCTCAAAGAGAAAACGCCGGATTGATAAATCGTAAAAGACATCGGAACCGTCATAAGGACATAATTGACCCGGAGGACTTCAAGCCCTCCTTAAGCAGATTGACAATTATAAGATTGACCTCACTGCGATCCAGGAAATTCGTTGGACTGGAACAGGAATTCTGAAGAAAAGATATCACACAGTTTATTACAGCTGCCATAGTAAAAACCGGACGCTTGCCACTGAGTGCCGTAAATCCAAATCTCTGTAGACTAAGGCTCAAAGGACTCTTCTATAATATAAGCCTTATTAATTGCCACGCTCTCTCAGACGAATCATCCGATGAGGAAAAGAAAATTTCTATGATGCATTGAAGAGAGAGCTCGACAGATGCCCTCGAAGTGCTGTAAAAATTCTGCTAGGAAGCTTTAATGCCAAGGTTGGCGGGGAAGAAATATATCGCTCTGCGATTGGGAAATGGAGGTATTTCTGCTATATTTTCTCCTTTCTTGAGTTCAATCGGGAGGGAGTTCCTATTCAATATGAATTTAAATTCACTATAGTCTGATTTAATTTGTCTGTTTTCAAAATCTATTTTAAAGTTTAGGTCATCCATGAGTTCGGAACCAATCAGAACGTCATGGTTTGGACTAAAATTTAGTAAATAAAATTTGACTTTAGCGGGACATTTTAAAAACGTGTTTTTGATTTCAGTGGTGATGGTTTCTGTTCCCTTTTCCTCTCCTGCGGCAGTTAAAACGATGACATTTTCATTTTGTCTTTTGACTCCTGCAGGTACTATTTTTGGATTAATATAGTTTTTTTGTGCTCCTGTGTCGAGTAGCCATTTACGATCCTTTTTGTCAATTACATAAGGCAGTTTATGGAAATTATTTGTCTGGAGTTCCTGAATTTTTATGTTTTGTAATTCCGATCTAGATCGTCCTCTAAAAAATGATCTTTTGTTGGATTTGCGGTGAGCCTCTCTAATTGTTCACGAAATTCCCTTATTTCTTTATCTTTCGGGTCTTCTTCTTCTACTTTATATACTGGGTGTCTTGGGTTGTTTTTCTGAAAACCGCTCACGGTACGCATTGAGACTGTGTTTGATGATTCACCATTCTCTGCGGGCTTATTATTATTTTTGGATTGTCCTGAGCCTCGAAAATACCTTCTTTGATCTTCGGATTTCCACTGCTCTCTGTGAGATTGGTAATCTCTCCTTTCATGGTGATTATTTTGATTACTGTTATGGTAATCTTGGTGGTAATCTCTCCTAGGGGAGTGTCGACGCTCATCATTTCTTGATCGGTAGAAATTTGGTTGGTGATAGTTTTTATTATGATGTATTTTATCATATCTCTTATCATAACCTCTTTTGTTTTCTTCCTGAGCTTCCCCGGGCTTCCTCATATTGCCAGAATTGATCAAATCTTCAAATAGAAGGTGATTTTCATTTTGTATGAGATTCCGTAGATCATCAAGAGTTTTTAGTCAGGCTTTAGTCATCAAATATGTCCTAATATGTAGAGGCATATTTGTGAAAAAGTGGTATAATATATTTTTCTCTAACGCGGATACTATAGTTGCTCTTTCCGGAGTGTTCTGAATTCGGTATTTGGAAATAATCAGTGTTCGACTTCTGTCTAATCGTTGAAGGAAATCTAGAGGGTGTTCTTTATGACGGATTCTTAAATTAAAGAGTTCAAATGTTAGTTGTTCAATAGAACGAGAATCCCTAAAAGTATTTTCCAGGTATTGTAAAAGTTCAGTGACCCCAGTGAATTCACACGTCGTATTAATGTAGTCAGCGTCTCCTGTTAGTCTAGCTAGGATTTTACTGAGTAAGCGTTGGTCATTCAGTTCGCGAAGGTTGTTATCTGTTTTGCAGAATATATTGTAAACTTGTCGGCAAACGGTTACAAACTTAAGCAAATTGTTTGGATCCCCATTGAATGCTGGAATATGGTCATAATCAGTGGATTTAATTGCAAAAGTGGTTGCCATTTCGTCTAAATTATTACAATCGTTAATGCGAATAGCTCTAATTTGTTCCAACCTTTCAGCTAATTTACTCATAAAATTGTTAGCACATATATGTTTATAACAATATAATAATATAAATGTTAATTTATATATATAATAAAAAAAATTATATAATTAAATATTAATAAACCAGAAAATAATAATAAAAATTTAATGAGTTTTGATGATTTCAAATAAAGTTGACTCACAATTTTCTTCAAAGAATTTCGATGTCTGTCGGGGTGATCAGACGATTTCAGCTCAGCAGCAGGTCCTTCTTCAAGATCTAAGAGTCAGAGCGGGGTGCCAGTCTCTTACAGGTGTGATATCCTCGAAAGGTAGATCAAATCTTGATTTCTGGTACTGCAGATTCGAGTCTAGAACCGCGATGAAATATGCTTGCGGTCCCTGTTCGGGCGCCAATTGAAAAAAAACTTTGAGAAAACAAATCAAACAATGAACATTAAGACATGCTAAGTACTACTGCTACAGATCTGACAAGCCTAGGATTTTATGGGGGTATATATAGGTAGAGGAGAGGGAGGCTGCTCAGAATGTCAAGTCAGCATAGTTCGTTTCCGTAACTTTAGATATCCATGCTACTGTGAAAACCAGATCCTTACGTCGTCCCACTGCAGCTTGGCTGATCAGTGAAATAAAGGAAATGATTAAAAGAAGGGATACAGGAAGGTGCAAATACCGTCGAACCCGTTTGCTTGTGGATAATCCGTCTTTCAAGAAACTTCGCAATGGAACTCAGTCCGCAGTCCGACTCGTTAAAGCCACCTACTTCCATAATGTCCTGTTCAATACTCCCGACTCCCAATCCAAATGGAAAATGCTTCGTAATCTACCCCTACTAGAAGCCAATATTTTCAATTCTTTCTCTGTGTCTCCAGACGATCTCAATAACCATTTCTTATCCTTCACTCATAATCCTTCTCCTACATCTGATATTAAACATCACCATTTCAATTCTGAAGACTTCTTTTTCTCCCATGTGTCCTACGAGGAACTACTTTTCACTATCTTTAAATCTCGCACTAATGATTATGGTCCTGACAATATTCCAGTAAAATTAATAAAAAACATGTATCCAATGTCTCCCGCCGCACCTTTTCTACCTTAAAACGTCTAAATTACCTCCGTCACCTATTTCCATTTGAAACCCGTAGGCTCCCAGTCACGTCGTTGATATTTCCGCATTTCAACTATTGCTGTACAGTATATGAGGGCGTCTCTGGTGATCTGGAAGCGAAACTAAAACGTTTGATAACTTCGCTTTGTACGATTCATCTTCGGGATCCCAAGAGACGCCTCTGTTTCCGTTTTTATGAAGAGTTGAAGTGGCTTTATCCTTCTTACCGTCATAAGTATTTCCTGCATCCTACCTCTTTCAAGTCAACCAATCTCGCCGTTCTTCATACATATTCGAACCTCCTCAATTCAATTCTTCGATTCATTGCCGCAGAACTCGCTCTAGGTCTTCAGATCTATATACTACGGCCCGCCAAACCGATGGTTTCGCCTGATCGTTCAGTATCTGATTCTCATCCCTTTAGAACTCAATCCTTTTCTACATTCGTCGCTCCAATACCGTCCCTACCTTTAAATCCCGGCTGTTTAATCACTTTTTGATCATTTAATCATCTATCCAGTCTCCATAAAATTGCAAATATATATTACTGTAAATATGTATATAAATTATTAGATCATTCTTAATTATTTATACTTATGTTTTATGATTTTTTTATTAATCGATTAAAGTCACGAAGTAACTGATACTTTTTTATTATGACTGTCTATTTACTTTGAAGTTATTATTTATGCATCTCTGAGGTTTCGTATCCCACATTCCTGTATTCTTGTATTATTCTAAAGGGACTCGTCCCAGAATAAATAAAGTATTATTATTATTATTTACAGCAAGGAAATTGGAGCTATGGCTGGGACCAGAAGAACACGAAGAGACAGAAGACGTTTCAGATCTCAACTTCGGCTATATCGGATACATAACTCTCAGTGACAACAAAAAATCCAGCTACAAGTCAAGGGAACTAAAATCAATATCCGTTCCTGATTGTAAACCAACAGCATACGTAAAGCTTATGCTCGAATCCAATCACGAAAATGCTCACAACAAATATAATCAGGTATTTATTGCATACATGTATAGAGGTGTTAGCTGCCTTGTTATTATTCGATACTTTCTAACACCAGTTTTAAACCTTGTCCGATCAGTTCAATATAAAATGTAATTTATTAAAATAAAAAGTCTTACTATATTATTTCTCAAAGTTTTTTTTGTTGGTACTACGTCATGTCTTTGTTAATACTTCATGAAATCTAACGATTGAGCCATAATGAAAAAGCACATTTTCCAGAAAAAAGTTGAAAAGAAAACTTTCTTTCTGAATATCTCAAAAAGTAAATATTCCTGTTGAATTATATTCGAGATAATGATAACAATTTCTAGATTCACTAAAAAATATGCAATAAAAGAAATATATATAGCCAATATTACTGAAGATCTGTTGTACTTTGCCAGACCCTGAGCAAGATAAGAAAACAAGACAAAAAACGGGTTTTCATTAATAAAAATGAAGACTAAATGGTTACTAATGTTAGCCCATTTTAGTTACTATAATGATACTTCTCAAAAGAAGCAAACTCTCACGGGGAATCAAAAATAAGCGCCAGTAATGTGGATTAGTGTTCTCAGAATATGAGCTTCACAATTTCCGTACAGTGATCGCTAATTGGATAGTTAGGGCTATAATACTGTAAATCCGTTACTTTTATTCAGATTTCCTTGTTTCTTCGTTCTATATCAAATCTATTATGTGAGCAATGAATATATTATCAAAAATAATATATGAAAATACTAAAATAAATGACTGTGTGGTAGATAACGTGAGATATCTTTTTTTTTTATACTTGTACATGAAACAGGATTCAGAACGTCAACAAAAAATTCAGCACCACATTATTTTATCTTAGCTTATTTTTTAAACGCTTTTCTTGACTCATATCGGTTAATTATCATCCATGAATTTTTCGTTACTTTCCTTATAGTTCTGCATTCTTATAATTTTTGACCGTACATCCTACCAACTTTTTATCTTTCCTTTTGTATTTTATTTGATATATAACTTATGACACACAATTAACGTTTATTGTTATTCTGGTCATAATAGTTATTATAATTTACTAATAATTTAATTATATAATTAATAATTTAAGTTTACCTCCGAGTAACAGGTAGTGAGAAACGTCGACAAATATTAATTACAAAGGGCCTCAAGTCAACAGTGGCAATTAGTGATTGTTAATTACTGATATAGACATCTCAATGCAGATTTTTGAACAATTTTCAAAGAATGGATGGAATCTAAAAATTTGCAGTGGAGGGAATGCACAGAATTACCATAAAACTTCCAAAATTACAAAAAGGTAAATGGTTCCTGATGAGCAAAATAAATGTTTTTTTTTTCGTATTTCTATCCGCTAAAAAGTGGAAAAGTATTTTATTGGACATTAACAAAGATTTGATAATAATTTTATGAAAACTGAAATATTGGTTAGCCAAATTAAAACTATATTGTACACATTATTCATTACTTTAATTAAATTCAACAACAAGAAAATCTGGCCGTGGATAGCTTAGAGCTGATTGGGCATTGGTAGTTTTAGTCCAGAGAAGAACATAAAAAGTTTTATATCCATTTGGTACCATTGTGTGCAGTCCGTTCCGGAGAAACTTTTCAATCAAAATCTAAATAGAATACTAAAGAACGTGAAGGACTCGCGGCACTTGTTCATAATCTCTAAGTGTCCCAAATAATAGCCCCTAAGTACCTAAACTACTAATAAACGCTTTTACGAATTTTATGTGCTAATCTAACATACATGCTAAAAACATTTATCAATTAATTGCATAAACATATGTGTATATGCTTTATGAAGTTTCAAATTAACATTATACGGTTCTAACAATTTTAATGAAACTTCCTTTTAATTTTCTACTTGAAGTCTTTTAAATTTTCATATTTTTAGTAAATTCTCGACACAATTTAAAAAATAAAAATTATAAATAATCGAAAATTGTTTTAGAGAGCTAATTCACCACGTATTTATCTATCGGTTTTCAACTGATCTGAACGTTTTTGAGCCTGTTTTGAAGCCTATTTTTTTGAAAAGTCATTAAATTTCTGACAAAATTGTTGACATGAAAATCATTTGAATCGGACCAGTTTCAGCTGTTATGGTATAATTGTTTTTTATATTCTAATTTTAATGGTGGTTCCCTTGCCCGTTTACATTGCTTGTTTCATCCAAGGAATTGTACCCTAATGATTTCACTGATCGGTTTTCAGAAAAATAAATCTATTTCAATTGTTTTTTTCTCCTAATAGACACATTCAAAGTTGTATTTTTTTTAAATATATAGGAAAGTCTTGAACGTGGACACAATAGGTTTTTAAATAAAATCATTGGAAACAATATATAAATTGTCTTTACTCAACAACTCTTTCATTCCAAATAATTGGAGGGATGGAGGAGGGTTATCATTTTCTTTATTTATTCTTAATTTTATTGATTTAGTTGTACTTTACAATGTTTATGTCTATAAAACATCTAAATGTACTTATTTTGTAGCGTTTTTCTGAGATTTAAAGTAGTATATTTAGTAAATAGCAATAAGCAGATAGATAGCAATAAGCAGATAGCAATAAACTGCAAGACTCTTGCGCAAGACCAAGACCATGACCAAGGTTTGTTGACGCAAGACCAAGCCCAAAACTCGGTCTCGTCTTGGTCTTGCGTTTGGGCAACACTACCCGAAATGTGTTATCATTTTTTTAAAATTACAATTGGCTTCCGATGGTAGAATTGTTTGAGGTAGGAGGGGCAAATCATTATGAATATGGTCCAGTTCTTGAGGATAGCTAATGTCAATTTCGAAAATATATCCAATTTCATTTTCGTCCTCAAGATCGAAGATGTTTATAGATTCCGGGTATTTAATCCACTCAAATCCTCCATACGGTAAATATATACTCAATGATTGGCCGTAAAGATTGTTTGTATCTAAATAAATTATGTAACTGGATTCTTGGTTTGAATTGAAGATACTCATATATTTATTATTTGCTTCTGCATACCGGTGCGATACCTGGCACAATCCTCAACGAATTCCATGCTCTATCGTCATAATCCTGTAATAGCTTTATGTTCATTTTTGTATATTTTAATATCGCATCCCACGTCATGCGATACCGTTTGTATTAGACTCTTCTCTTAGGAAAAGATGATTACAGCAATAGTGAATTTCTTTCATGAAATATAGAAAAAGTTGTATATTATAGTTCGTACTCATACTAACACATTGGGATTTGGTATCAATATCTATATTTAGAAGCTCTTACTGTCCAAACGCATGCATAGATAATTTCATTGTAACTATTTTTGGTATTTTAAAGAATATTAGGTAAAATGAGGTTCTCAGTGTTATATAAACTTGTTGAAATGTCGGAATGAAAATAAAAATTACAAAATAGTTCACATACGCATAACATCAACAGATTCTGAAAATAGCTAAAAAAGTGAGGTAAATAGTGAAATCCATTGATAAATCAGAGGAAAATACTAAGAAATATAGTTAAAAATGACACATTTTATAAAAAAAAATTGCTGGAAATAAGGAAAAAATGAGATGAATACAGTATAAAAATTGTCTAAGTAACTGATATAAATGAGTTTAAAATACTGTAATGTATACATGTTAAATTTAGACAAAAATATAGGTTAATTTGGTAAATTTCATTGAAAATTAGTGGAAATGAGGCAAATACAAAAAATAAGTTCAAATATGATTCAAACATTGTCTAAGTAACTCATACAAATGTGCTTCTAATACTTAAAACTGTAATGTAAAGCATGAATATATGATAAAGTTAGACGAAAATAACTGCAAATGGAATAAAAAAAATACAAAAATTGGTTCAAATATAAGATGAGTATGATTTAAAAATTGTCTAAGTAACTGATGTAAATGTATTTAAAATACTTAAAACTTTAATGTAAACCATGTATATATGATAAATTTAGACGAAAATAATTGGTAAAAACGGTAAATTTTGTAGGAAATGGAGTAAAATCGTATGTGTGGAGGCAGCAGGCGCTCAAAAGTGAACCGCCAAATCTCCTCTACCAAATCCATAGGCACTGGCTATTGCCTTATTAATTAATTAATTGTTAAAATATTAAAAGAAATCCATTGAGGATAAATATGTATAAAAAGCGGAATAGCAGAAAATATAAATATATTGAAAATAATAAACAAATGAAATGGAATGATACAAATTAATACATGAAATAATAAATTAATAATATTTCTCTTAATATAAAATAATGAAATAAATGATAGAAATAAAATATTACTTTAATCATTAACATAAAAATAACGTTAAAATGAAATTGGCAAATCATTTTTTTTTTTTTTTTTGACAAATATTACTATCTGTCTCAATAAAGGACATTTATAATAGAGTTCTGAGAGCACATTCACACCATATTTACAAATTAAAAAAAAAAGCTAATTTCAAATAATATAAAGCTATAAAAGAACAAAATGAAATATCATAGTGAAGGAAGAAAATATAAATAATAGTAATAATAGAATGAAAATAAATTAATAAAATAGAATTAAAATTATCTTTAAAAAAAAGTAATGAAAATAAACATCTTAGATGCAGGCACCAATTCGAGCTAGATGTTAAGAATAGGTTTGAAGCTTTAGAGCTTCCTGACGAGGACCACGAGGATATTGACAAGTTATGGATAGAGATCAGGGATAATATTAAAGCGGTCGGTAACTCGTGTCTAGGAAAAAAGGAAAATAAGACTAACAAACCGTGGTTTGATGAAGATTGCTTAAACATGTGTGAAAAAAGAAAAGCCGCTAAATTAAAAGCTCTAAATAATCCTAGCGAAGAGAATCTGGAATACTTCCAAATCTCAAAGAACGAAACGACAAAATTGCTCAAAAATAAAAAAAGGGAGTATCTTAAAAATAAAATAATTGAAATAGAAACTAATAGAATCGAAAATAACGTAAGAGACATATACAAAGGTATAAACAGATCACGTA